GTGTACATGTGTTAATTGTGTACATGCATAGTTTTGCAAATGGCGTCCAACCGTAAACAACTATTCCCTTGAGCGGATTCCCTCCCAATGAACCGTAAAAATCGGAACCACTTTTGTATCCCGGAGTTCGATCTCCTTTCTTTTACTTCGTGATCACAACCCACACAGAACATGACGTCTATTAGAAATCCATACAACATCCACAGCTCTATCTTCATAATGGATGATGAAAGGACGTCTAATGCATATCTATGCTACGTCCACTACAGATATCCATAAAAAAATCTATTATGGACATCCATTAAACGTATATTCTAGATATTTAACAGATATATTAGTAGTGAAACTATGAGAGGTCTAACTTAAGGTTTTACGGGGGCGCGAGGTATGACGTCACACAGAGAAAAGGATGACGTCACTATGACGTCACACAGGAGTGGTGCGTGACGTCACAAAAAAGGGGTATGACGTCACGCGAGAAATGACGTCACGCGGGAGCGTGGCACTGCAGGATATGACGTCACGCGGCGTCAGGAAGTAAAACGGAGGGCTCTTTATGGCGACTTCACACGCGCATCAGAAGCGACTTCACACGCGGTGCAATATGGCGGCGGCAATATGGCGGTTCGACAATATGGTGATTGCAAGGTATGTACTTGTTACTGCGGTAATATGCTTTCGATATGTGCCGCGGTATGCACCATTATACGCAGTATGCGCAAAGTTGCAGTATGACTTATATCTTATTTTATATTAGATAAAAACATGCTGATGGTAGCAAAAACCATGGTAGCAAAACCAGTTGCTAACTGCGTATTAGAGAAAAAAATGATGATGAAATAACTCATAAATTTTGCAAAATATGCAGTTTTTGCAGGTTTCACCGATTTGGTCACGTATTAAAGTACCATAAACCTATATTAAATAAAACTGCTGATGACAACAAAAATTACTAACTGTGTAGAGAAAAACAAACTGATGGTAAAATGCAGTTCTTTTGTCGGATATCAGATTTCACTAATTTGATCACGTACTAAAGTAACATAATATTATTTTATAATACATTAAACAGGTCAGCACAAATTGCTAACTGCATAGTAAAAAATAATGATTGCGCAATTAGTACATTTAGGTTTCATCAATTTGGTCACGTATTAAAGTAACGTAAACTTATTGCAGCTATATGAAAGTTTATACCATCGTGACCAAATTGACAAAGACATATCGTGTAACACTAAAAAAATACGAATCATGTTTAACCATAATTGAACCACAAATAAACTACGAACGAATCATGCGTAATTATAAGCAAACCATAAACGAACTACTTTCAACAATAAGCGGACCACGAACAAACCATGTGTAACTATAATCGAACAATAAACGAACCACGAACGAACCGTGTTTAACCGTAAACAAACCATAAACAAACCACGTTCAACCATAAGCAAACCACGAACAAACCATGTTTACCCATAATTGAACCATTAACGAACCACGTTTAACCATAAACGAACCATAAACAAACTACGTTCAACTATAAACAAACCATGTTTAACCGCAAACGAACTAGAAACGAGCCACGATCAACCATGAAACCATGTTAAACCGCAATTAATACCGTTAATCTATATAAACATGCTATAGAGGAGGGTAGTAAATGTACAACTAAAGTCGTTGCATATAACATTTTATTGTCATTTAGACCACAAAGTGTAAATATTTTAAATACATTTTGTAATGCGCAATGTTTCACATGTTTTTCACATCGTAGTTCGATACGTTCATTTTCTTTAAAGACACAATATCATCGTAATCTGCATCCAATGTTTTGTCAATTAATCCATGTCGCACGTCAGTATCGAGAATATCAGCTAGCCAGTCACGTTTCTCAAGACCTTTAACATAGACAAGATGAGACGCGTTGTTATCAGTTTCTACTGTGTTACAAATAGCTGTTGTAATCAAATTCCTTGCTCTGCAGTATGCAGCATTTCCATCTTCCCAACGCAGCCCGTGATGATGCGTCATCAACCAAGAAGCTGCTGACCTGTCTGATCTTGCGAGTAGATTCCACGGAAAGGGGCTTTCAAAAATGTAGTGCGAGAGAACAATACCTTTTCGCAATATCGCTACTTCTTTGACAATAAATCTTTTCCCGACAAATCCTTGCAGGTCCACAAACATCGGCACATCCATGATGTAATTGTGTGTGACCGATAAAAGACGACTGCTGTCTATTGGTACATACTTTAGTTCTTAAACGATTTTCAGATTATAAAAGGGAGAAGTGCTGGTGTTGCAATTTAAATAATTTTGCGCACTACATTAGTTAACGGGTTGTATTCAACCACACGATCGTGCAAAATGAGACAATAGGCCGTAGTATTTTCCGCTATATTTTTTCTGCAATCGAATTTAATTCGCACATCAACGGTTGCACTCTTAACAGCCTCATTTTGACGTGAGTAATCAATGACCACTAAATGACCACATTGCAAAAAATTGTAAATCGTGAGAAACGGTAAGACAACACCACATCTGTAGTACGTTTTACGAAAATATGTGTACATGTCGTACAAAATCGCATATTTTTATATCAAAATCTAAATGCAAGTCATCATAGAGGTAGAATTCAGAGTTGAGATAAAGTTTTGGTTAACTGACAGTGATCGAATCGTGTAACATCTGCTGACATATTGTTTTTTCGAGCAGTCTGTAACGCAAATATGACGTATCTCGGTTTCTCAAGTTGTGTTGCTGTTTTTACAGTCCACGAATGTTTAGTAGTGCTTTGTAATAATGGAAACTCGTAGAGATCCCACGAGCGGAAACTCATGGTCAAATACGCCCGCTTTCCAGAGTTTGTAGCAGCGAGAGCTTTGTGACATCGTTCAACTATATATGTGACATTCGCCATTGTACTTTGAGTAATTCAATTTTTCCATCCAATGCTTCACCATCTACCTCAGAAACTGCTGTTATGCAGTTTTTGTCGTTGCGCGATCGTATTAAAATTAATTCATGACGTGCATTGATAACCATACGCTTGTAGTTCTCGCAGAATCCCAATAACATGCTGAGTGGTACGCAGAAACTAAAGTAACTATCTACGTCCGTATGTTGGGTAATATCCCATCCGGCATTCTTTATAGTTATGCTTTTATCATGTGTTAGCAATATATAGGTTTTGATCGTGCTGGTTATTCCAACGTTTCTATTTCGATCAATCTCCACACCATTGAGTTCATAGCGAATCTCATCAAACATGAAAGCCACACAATTATTACTCAAATATACTTTTTCTTTATCTTTCTTCGTTAATGTTAATTTTCCTTCGACGTAAAGAAAACTTTGACATAGTAAAGTGTACAAGTCCTATTGTTGTATAGGGGGGTATGCGTATCTCTCATCACTGTGTTCAAATGTTGTGTTCACATACGGATTGTACGTGTGAGTTTCAATCTTGACGATACGATCGTCAAAGATCGGCTCACCTCCAACGTTTAAAATGTCGACCATATTTTTACAATTCGCGTACAATAAATCCCAACGATTGTAAAAATTTAACGTTTATCGAACTCAGCTTCTTCCGATTACTGTACGTCGTAGCAGGTGTTTGTAATGGAAACCTCGTATCTCGCGTCACTTGATCCGCCTCGTTCAGCACGAGCATGCCGCGTATTACAGTCGTCGGCGTCGCACGTGTAACCTGACGGTTATTTCCTCTCCTCGAAAATCAAGCAATTGTTCGTTTTGATCCACAATACTTATTGTCAGATCCGTAATGCTCTGCACGATGATCGGAAAGTAAATGATATGTGCCGGTGTTTCCGAGATCTTATATCCTGGTGGCACGTTCGGTGAGAACTCATGTATCGTATGTACAGTGCGGAGCACCATATCGTGCGCCGTGAGGGAGGAGAAGTAGTTTTCCTCTGGCCGCCTCCTACTACCACGCACCAGCGGCCCGAGATTTAATCTATATGTTAAGGTTAGTATAATTAATTGGTAATTATTAATAATTACCGGTTATTATTAATACAAACTAAATTACAAAATAAAAGTAATAACTTTAAGAAATGTTATCACATTAGCTGGTTAATATTAACCCTTTGCACTCCGAACGATTCTGGACGTTGGCTATCAGCTACTCAGCGCCACTTTACGGCAGAAACGAACATTTACAGACCCTCGTATTATTTATTATAATTTTGGAACTAAGTAACGTATTATAATAATATTGGACTTATATGAATTGGTTGAAATCGAGGAATGTATATTTGCAAAAAAATCACTATTTTATTGTTTATAATTTTGTACAGTATGATAAATTTTGAAACACTCCCCAATATGCATTGCAGGCTGATTAGTGCATGTTTGACAATAATAAGTTGTTTGACGCCTGCCACCAGATATTTTCCTGTTAGAACACACAATGCAGTCCCGTTTTCTTTGTCCCACATCGGGAATATGTAGTTTATTGTCTAATCTATTGTCCGCAGAAGATGTGGATGGACGCGTTCTTGATACACGAAAATCGCCTCTCAATTGGTCAATGAGTGTCTTGACAAACTTGTGGTGTGTCATTGGCGTTTCATTATTTGTTTGTTTCATTGTTTTTTGTTTTTTTAAACTTCAGGGAAACATGCATGTTTCAAAAAGTTGCGCTGAAATAACTCAATTCCCCGTAATCACTAATAAACTTGAATGTCCCCTGAGAGGGGACATCCGAGTGATATGCTAGAATTACGATGTCCCCTGAGAGGGGACAGCGGAGTGCAAAGGGTTAAAAGTTCCCGCCTATTGTTGGTTTAATAACAAATTTCGATTCAGCATTGCTTGTGGCGTTGCTGTGTCGCTTGTATTATGACATGCGAGTTACGCGTCAGCGCCAAATATTTACGCACTCGAGATAGGCTGTTTTGTTTCACTTGAGCGTGACGTGCACGATTGTGCGCGAGCAAACTTTTCGTGTATTTAGACATTAATTTACCATAATGGGAGATTTAGAGATAATGAAGACTCGATTTAACACGCAAGTTAACATGCTTAAATCTAAGAAAGGAAAAAATCATCAGTTGTTTACAAGAAATAAATATAATTTATTTTTGATGAAAGTCAAAACAACCAAAGAGAAGACTTCGAACAAAACATCTGAAGAATATCAACGGCTGTCTAGGTATGATATTGTTAAAATTGGTAATGTAAGAAAACTCGTATCAGTAAAACATGAAAGAGCTCCCATTGTTTATTATATGTTTGTAGAAAAGATTTTTTATATAATTTATGAGACTCATATTTTTTGTCTAGGTATGATATTGTTAAAATTGGTAATATAGAAAAACTCGTCGTGCCAGTAAAAAATGAAAGAGATCCCATTATTTATTATACCTTTTTGGAAGAGATTTTTGATATAATTCACGAGACTCATATTTCTATCGGACATGGAGGACAAAACAGAATGATGAAAGAACTTCGCATCAAATATAAGAACATCACTGTAGAATTAGTCATGAGTTATTTAAATCTTTGTGAATCTTGTCAAAAGAAGATGAATATTCTAAAAAAAGGACTCGTTGTTAAGCCCATTAAAAGCAGTGAATTTAATTCAAGATGTCAAATCGATCTGAATGACATGCAAATGGTGACAAGCAGATGGTGATTACAGATTAATAAACCATTATCTTGATAATGGTTTATCAAGATCATCTTACAAAGTTTGTCCAGCTTAAAGCATTAAAAACCAAACGAGCCGAAGAAGTTGCGTATCATTTGTTAGATTTGTTTACAATATTTGGTGCTCCATGCATTTTACATAGTGACAATGGCAGAGAATTTACAAACAAAATTATTGAAGAAGTCTGCGGAATGTGGAATGAGCTTAAAATTGTTCACGGTAAACCGAGACATAGTCAGTCACAAGGTTCAGTTGAATGTGCGAATCAGGACATAGAGAAAATGTTATTCACATGGCTAGAAACAAACAAACAACAAAATGGTCGGACGGAATAAAATTTATTCAATTTATGAAAAATAGAGCTCACTACTCTGGAATAAATTGCAGTCCTTATGAAGCTATGTTTGGCTGTAAAGCTAAAATAGGTTTAAAAACATCTTTGCCAGCTAATGTATTATCAGAAATCACAAGTGAAGAAGATCTGAAAGCAATTTTAGAAGATCAATCTGACGCTGCATCTCAGAATGCTGAATGTGATCAGACTATGAACTCGCAAAATGATGACAATGTTAAAACACAGCATGATAGTAATATGAATGTTGATAATTTAAATGAAAACTTGCAGTTACTTACACATAACGTGACTATCGAAGCTCTAAATATCGACAATAATAATAATAATAATAGTCAAGCCGCTAATAACCACTAACATAAAGTTTCAGAAATAGTTATTATTGACGAAAAAGAGGATAAAGTTAAAAAAAATGACGAGAATAAAGAAAATGGATATTTACTTAACAAAATTACTCAGAAAATTCAAGAAGCTCGAAATTCTGCTAAACAATTACTCGAAAAGCAGGCTGACAAAATGGTAAAGCATTCTAATGCTAAATTCCCTGTTGCAAGAGTAGGTCAAAGTGTTCGAATCAGGATTCCGGAAGTGGATAGAGCTAAGGCTGATAGTCGAAAATATTATTGCTATTATAATTTTTGTCGAGAACAAAAGTCTTTATAAACTAGGAACAAAATATGGTATTTTAAATCAATTTTACACGAGGAACGAATTCACCATCTGTAAAGAAACTTTTATTTGAATAAACGAAGTGCCCGATATTGAGATAAGTCTGAGAGAATGTGCTCGTAAGGATTCGAATTTAGGTGGTCAAGGCTTTCGACATTGTAATTGTACAGGCAAATACAAACTAATACGTAACAGCCAGCTTATTTTGCTTGATAACATGTTGCAATCTAGTATCAATTAAGCCGTTTGTTGAAAAATTTTGAATATTGCTTTGAAGCTCTTCATACTTAAAAGTATATAGTCGTATTAGAGTCCAGTATTACCATTAAACACTTCTTGTCAGAACCATAAATATATCTTTGACAGAAGAACATTTTTGAGCGCAACCCTATAAAATAAAATCTAGCGTAACTGCTTCAAAATTATATAAAATAATTGTTTGTGTCATTCTTCTTATCTTTTCATGCACACACACACACACACATTATTTGTTAGTATCATTATTTTGTTAAATTTTTAAATACATATACAACTACAATATATATGTATATATTTATATATAAACATAACTATTATAATATTGCCTTACTAGTTTTTATTTTTGATGTTTTAAAGAAAATNATATATTTATATATAAACATAACTATTATAATATTGCCTTACTAGTTTTTATTTTTGATGTTTTAAAGAAAATTTAACGCTAATTATACAAATCTAGTATAGTGTTTTAGTTTTTATTCTTAATATTTAAATAATGTTTAAAAATATTTTAATAATCACTGTTATAAGTTATATGTTATGTATATATTAAGTCATATGTTACGTATTATATAATAAGCGATATCGGTTAAATTTGGGGTTTGGTTACTGGATTTAGTGTTACTTTAAACGGGGGACTGGAATCCGGCGCGGATGTCCAGTCAGCAGTCGCGGGGCGATATGCGACCGCGTGCACAAGGACGCACCGGTTGAAGGTCGCACGTGCGGCCGAAAAGATGCAATGGTTTGCATTGCACTTTTCGAAGGCCGGGTGTCGCCTGGTTTTCCTCGGCCAATCACAGAGTGATTGACTCGGGGATATAAGCCGGTGTCCGGGCGGAAACAGGGAGAATCGGTCCGAGAAGTGTTGCCGCCGGGGGCTCTGCTCGGCAGAGTATCGCTACTTACACGCGTGTGATAGTGTGGGTGAAAATAATACAACATCGAGTCAATAACTAAAGCAACAAGATTGTAATTCCGTTAAGACAAATAAAGAAAATAAAAAACAGAACAGTTCCACAAGACAAAATCATTTCTTCTCGTCGTTTCCCTCCCTCGCGGCATCCTGAAGAATCCCACGAGGTAACATCACTATGACATTTATCTATTTTGTCATAGTTTTTTACTCTCTTTCTTAAATATATTTTACTTTCTTACACTTACCGTAAGTAAGTTTCTTATATCACGTAAAATTATATCACGTAATAATTAAATAAATAAATATTTGATATAAATTATTGAAGTCACTTTCAATCCAGAGTTACTCTTTTCAATGTTCACAATAGTTTTATAATAACATATGCCTGTCGGTATTATTGATAACCGCGTCGGTATACATATGATATATATCATTGGTAACCGTGTCGATATATGGATTAAATTTCGGGCCGCTGGTGCGTGGTAGTAGGAGGCGGCCGGAGGAAAACTACTTCTCCCTCTTCACGGCGCACGATATGGTGCTACGCACCGGTTGTTGCTGTATGCACCCGCGGTCACGTTGCACTCTATTCGGATAATGTTAACGGTGATAATATTAATCGACACGTCTGATACATACCACTGTCGTGGCTCTAAGCTACGAGTTGATGAAAATCCCAACAGCAATCCAATGGTCGCAGGTTTGGTAAAATTTATTTGATAGGCGCTGTTTATTTCACTTTTCATTGTGTTGGTGTTTGCGCGTAACATTAGTGGTGAGATGTCCTCATTTTTATCTTCGCTTCTCGCATTACGTTGCACCATTGCATGTTGCAGATAATTGTTAATATTCCGCAATTCGTACGATTTTTCAGAAATTATAATCTGCTTGTCATCCGTATCGTAATAAACTTTGTTCTTCGACGAATTTACGTTCGATATCGTATGATACGTTTTAAAATCTGTTAGTCCAAGCTCGTAATCACCGTCACTTAAAGCAATGACGGAAAAGTAGCTAACCGCAAGGATGCTACTTTTACCGGTAAGTGTAAACATCAATGACATATTGTCAAATGCGTATTAAAGTTTGATAGCACACTATTTAAAGAAATATAGCTTATCAACCGTTTGAAGAAATCGCAAACATAGTTGACCGCAATTGCTGTGATTGTAACGTTGATAAAATGTACGGTTATATTCTATTTTGTCCACGGCATGTTCTAGATAACGCACCACCTCTTTTGGTGGTTGAAAATTGCCGAAACTGTCAAAATATATGACATGCTTTCCTCTCTTTGCATACGCCACCCAGTGAGTACCTGGTCCATTTGTATCATCTAAATTGACGATACCACTCTCATTACGACGTACTACGTCCGGTAAAGTATTACGCATGAAAACACCTCTAACGAAAGGTATACGCATGCGCTTAGCTAGTTGTTTTACCTGCATATTTGTTGTTACACCTGTAGGTACATTTAATGTTTTTTCGCCGTTTTTTTCTTTGAAAGTCCCCGTCCATACGGATAAATTCCTCGATCTTCTATCGCGCGATTATGACGTTGCATTTCTTCTAGCTGACGCTGTGCAACTCTCGTATCATTTACCGTTTTTTCAACTCCCGCCGCTCTACCAACGAGCGCACCGAGAGCACCCAGCAGCGGTAGGACCGGTAACACACCGCCGCGTTTAGCAATTGGAAGTATTTGCTTCCTTTTTCCTGACTTGTTTTTCTTTTTCAAGCCCATGCCGAGTTTTGTCTTTGCTTTCATAGCCGCCCACACAGCGGTCGCAGCTGCTCTCTCACCGAGACTCGAGTCTGCTGCTGTAATACAATCGCGCGCCTTTGCAGCAAGTGCGTTATCAGCCACGTGTCGAGCAGCGAGTTCATTGTTTCGCGAATAAGCTATATCGTGTTCACGACAAGCCGCGTCCAATGGATTAAGGTAGTAGTCTCGTAACTTGGGTTGAAAAAATCGATTTTTTTTTTATAAGTTATTCCGAAAGTAAAATATATTGAGATTATACTCCAAAAATTTCAGACCGAAATTCATAATATCAAGAAAGTTATAGTATATATGGCAAAGCGCTCTGTAGTTGCGCGCTGTAAGCCGCGAGCGCGTTTTGTTTTTGTTTTGTAGTTCGTCGTTTGTTTTCGTTCGGTACATTTGACACCTTTAGAAATAATGCAGTGTTATATACATATGTTCATTTTAGAGAAGAATTTCACAACATACTACCAGTATTCGTTGATTATTTGGCACGCGAACATTGAATAAAAGTGTGAAAATGCCTCACAGAGATAGAAAAGGTAAGAAACGAGGCACTAAAAGTCCCGGAGAAAAGTCTAAAAAGATAAAATTCCATGGTAACAGACACACTTCTGAAAAGAGTAGTGAATCAGTTAGTACGTCTGCAAAAAAAT